GGAAACTTAGCCTAGAAGGCCCCAAGCCCTGGAGATACAGGCCTCCAGCTCCTAAGGGTTACCTTTTCATGCAGGTCATGGAAGTCGCTGTAGCGGTGCTTGACTGTCCACTCATGGCTGCCATCAGTGACCCGGATGATATAGACCTAAAAGGGGAGACCAACAGCCCTTGTGGCAAGGCCAGCCAGCCAGCTGCAGGTACCCTCCCCTCCCCTGCAGTAACAGCTACAGACACCCAGACCCTACAGCCAAAGTCAGGCTGCCCTTGCCTGCCAGCCTCTGTACCTGAGCTTTGCTGAGCAGCAGGGTCCCCACTCAGGCTCCCCCACAGCCCTAGCACTGGAGCTAGCAGGCTCATGGGACAAGCCTGTGGCTCCGTCCATCAGAGAGGAATAGAAAAGGCGACTCTACCTTGTCAAGCCACCTCTTTACTTTTTTATCTCCTGCTCCCAGGTAATTCAAAGCCCAACCCAACTCGAGCTTCAGGCAAGGCCACCCCTTCCAAATGAGGGAGAAGCAGGACCAGCTTCTCTGCTACACTTCTTTCTAGGTGCCCTGACTACATCCTGAAAGCAAGTCCTTTCCCAGCTTTTTTAACTGGTTCATGGCTGTGGTTTCTGCTGCTGGGCCAGGAGTCAAGGCAGTAAGCAGCTGATGGGGGAGTCAGTGATGAGACATCAAACCCTAACAGGAGGCAATATGGCTTAGTGATTAAGGACATGGGCCTTGGAGTCAAGGAAGACCTAGGTTCAAAATCTGATTCTGTCACTTCCTGGCTGTGGGAACATATGCAAGTGAATTAACATCTCCGAGCCTCAATTCCCCCATCTTAAAATTTGGTAGGTTTCAGGATCAAACGAAGTCACTGGGTGCTGCAAACAGTTAACATGCTCGGCTGCCAACCTAACCAAAAGGTTGGAAGTACGAGTCTACCCAGAGGTGCCTTGGAAGAAAGGACTGATGATTTACTTCTGAAAAATCAGTCAATGAAAACCCTGTGGAGCAAGGTTCTGCTCTGACACATGTGGGATCGCCAAGAGTCAAGGCTTCCAAACTGTCCAGTTTAAACCCCTCTGAGAATTTGCATTTCTAACAAGTTCTCAGGAAATTATACATAAGAATCACCTGGGGATCTTGTTAAACTGTAGATTCCAATGATTCAGTACACCAGAGGTGGAAACGCAAATTCTCAGTAGAGGGTCAAACCGGAATGAACTGGTTCAAAGCCCTGCCAGGAGTCATAGTCAACTCGACAGCAACTAGTTAAAGGATCAAATAAGGCAGCGCATGTAAAGTCCCTGTGCAGGGCCTGACACATAGCAGATGTTCAAAAACAAGGGCAGGTTAATACTATTTCGGCTCAGCACACCCACAAACAGACGACAGTAGGGTCAGCCTGGGTCACCACCTCCCCCCACACCCATCCAGAGGAGGGGCTCAACCCTGCAAGAACAATGGCTGATGGGCCTGAGAGCTTTTTGGAGCTGACCTTCCAGCTGAACGAAGCCCACGGGTGAGGGATGGCCAGCCATCAGCTTGGAGACCTCACCCCTCACCTGGAGTAGGCTCCCTAGTCCTAGTTTCCCGCCCCTCTCTGCGGCATACAGGGAAGGGGGAGGAGAAAATAATCAACTCCCCCGAAGCCTCCAGCCCAGAGGAGCTGCCATTTCTCCAGGGCTGGAGCCTGTTGCTCAAGGATCCGCCCCCAGCTCCTCTTCCCAGCCTGGCAGTCTCCTTTCCCCTGCCCCCCAGGAAAGCCGAAAGAGCCAGAAGTACGGCCCCCAGGAAGGGGTGACGGCAATGAGGCACAGGCAGGGCCAAGGCCCCCAACCTACTCCCCATCCTCTGGGAACAAAGGACAGGAGCTCAGCGTGCTCCCACTCCAGGACCAGTCCCTGCCAGGCAACTGCCAGCCCTACACACCCAGGAGGGAATCCCATCTGTCTGGAACCCCTCATTTTCTGTTCTCCACTTCCCCCACAGCCACGAAGAATGTATGTGTTTATGAGTGTGTGTGTGCAGTTCACCACCTCCCTCTCACCGCAGCCCAAAGGGATGAAGCCCCCTAAGTCCTGTGCTTCAGCCCAAAGCCCTCTAAGTCCTGCGCTTCAGCCCTAAGCCCCGATGCCACCATTTCTGGGCCTCCCCCTCCCCCATTCTTGTCTCCGCCCGACCCCCAGGGCCTCAAGCCCCAGATTCCTCCCTTACCTCTCAGCACAGATCTCAACCCCCGACCCCAGGCCCCCAGCTCAAGGCCCTGCCCTCTCTTTTTCTTCACGGTCTGCGGTGCCTTGACGCCCCCTTCCCCAGTTTCTATCCATCACAGATCCCCCTCTCCAGTCCCTCTCCTCCTGGACCCCCTATCACGGCCACCGAGGCCCGCGCTCCCCTCCAGGCCTGAAGACTCTGGAAGAGCCTCCGCCCCATCCTGGGGTCCCTCCCCACACTCCCCTTATCCCCAGATTCTCCCCAACCCGAGCCTCTTTTTCTGATCGCGCACCCCTTCCCCTAACCCCCTCCCCGAGCCCTGCCCCAAAACCCTCCTCCTGGACCTGCGGGGTCCAGACCCCTCTCCCCAGATTCCCCAACCCAGGGCCCCTCCTCGCAATCGTAGATCCCTCTACCCCTCTCCTGCCCGCCCTGTGGGGCCCAGACCCCCTCCCCAATCCCCCTGACTCGAACTCCTGGTTCCAGACACCACCCCCGGTCCGGGCGCCCCCGCCCCCAACACACCGTGTACGTGTCCACGAGCTCGGAGCCCACGACGCGCGCCTCCTTAGCTGGTTCGGCCTCCCGGTCGGCCCCGAAGCTGCGCTCCGCCGACGCCATGTTTCGGGCTCCACAGCAGCAGCCGCCGCAGCCGCCCGGCGCAGACTGGCAGCAGCAGGGGCGGGGTCAGCGTCCCACCAGCCCCCGTCCCCACCGCCCCCCGCCGCTGCCGAGCGCGGCGCGGCCTTCTTGGCCCCTCCGCCTGCTTGCGCCCTCGCCCCGCCCCTGGGCCCGCCCCTCCCGCGTGATTGACGGCAGCCTCAAACGGCGCGTGCGCACGTTGCTGCGTCTTGTCCTATTGCGTAATCGGTACCCGCAAGGCGCCGCCCACGTCGCTCGGAGCCGCCAACGCTCGGGGAGAAACTGAATCCCCAGATTGGGATGGCTCTGAGCGTCGTCCCTCGGTCCTGGGGGAAGGACAGAGGGCCCCGCGCCTTCCGTGCTACGCAAAGCAAGTCACTGCTCCGCCTGGCGTCAGCTTCGCCCTCTGGAAAAGGGAGGCAGTAGTCGCATCTCATCTGGATGTTGAGCTTATTCCTCATAGGACGAGAGCTGGAGCGGGTTAAGGGGAAGATGCGGGCTGTGCTTAGAGCCTGAGCTGGGGCGGGATGACTCTAGGCCGGTTCTTAACCTCTCCGAGACTCGGTGATCTCCCCTGTCTCTGGGGAGAATTGAGTGGGCTAATCCAAACAGTTTCCAGCATGCAGTAGT